TATTTTTATTTTATGTGTATGAGTGTATTGCCTGCATGTATGAGTGCACCCATGTCATGATATGCCACGGAGGTCAGAAGAGGGCTTCGGATTCCCCTGAACTGGAGTTAAGGACGGTTCATAGCTGCCATGTGGGTGCTGGGAATCGATCCCGGGTCCTCTGCAAGAGCAGTCAGTGCTCTTAACCGCTAAGCCGTCTCTCCAGCCCCTCATACTATACATTTTGATCACATTCAGACCTCCTCCATTTCCACCTCACTACCCTTCCTTGTTTTTGTTTTTTTGTTGCTATTGATTTTATTTTTTTTTATTTTATGTGTATGAATGTTTTGCCCAGTGCCCTTGGAGGCAGAAGAGTGTGTCACATTCCCTGGAACTAGAGTTAAAGATGGGTATTAGCTACCAAATGAGTGCTGGGAACCGAACTTTGGATCCTCTGGAAGAGCAGTAACTGCTAAGTCGTCTCTCCAGCCCCTTGAGACCCTGTCTTAAAAAACAAAAACCAGGTTGGCTTCAAACTTACCTTGTAGCTGATGATTGACATTGAACCCCTGATCTTCTTGGTTCTGCCTCCCAAGGGTTGAGATTATAGGTGTGTGTATGCCTAAAGGTACGATTAAGTAGATACTTTACTACAAAAATACTGAAGCTGAGAGTGATAGATGCTGTATACCTATAATCTCAGCACTCAGGAGGCTGAGGCAGGAGGTTGACTGTTCAAGGCCAGCCGGGGTACATAATATAACTGTTGCCTGACCATACCCCCCTCCCCTCAATAATCCCCAAACTAAAAGGACTCATGTGAATTACTAGTGGTTTTGTTTTATTTATTCAATATCTATGTATTCATTTTTTCGAGATAAAGTCTCCTGTAGTCTAGGCTGCCCTGTGAAGCCAGTGCTGGCCTTGATGTTAGAATTACAGGTGTACCACTATATACTTTTTTTTTAAAACAATATTAGAAATTGGATTTAGGATATTACACATGCTAGGGCAGCCCTCCACTACTGAACTATATTCTTGGCCCTAGTTTTACTTTTAATATATCTTTTTACTCTGTCCTGTGGCCTTGTGCTTCTAGGCTCCAACTCTGGAGGAATGGTTGATGGTGCTTAGGCAGCATGCAGGGCGCTGGGTATTCCTAGCTGCTCTTAGGATTTGGTTTCTTGCAATGCCCCTTGAGACAACTGTAGACTTTTAATGACTTTGTAATTGGTAGATTGTGAGTAGGATCTGATTTTGGATTCCTTTTTCTGTGTTTTAAATTTGCCCTTTCCAAATCAATGTACAGTTAAAACATTTTGAAGGAAGAGAAAGGGACAATAGAACAGAGACCTGCTTTTTTTTAAACAAGTTGTTTTTTTTTTAATGTGTATAAGTGTATTGCTTGCATGTAGGTAGTTGTACCTCTGTCATGCAGTGCCTGTGGAGGTCAGAAGAGAGGGGGTTGGATCCTCTGGAACTGGAGTTACTGATGGATGGTTGTTAGCCACCATGTGGGTGCTGGGAATCGAAGCTAGGTCCTTTTAACCACTGAGCCATCTCTCCAACCCCAGTGACCTGCTTTTAAAGAACCTGCCTAGTAGAAGACACTCCGTGGTCTGGTTTACTTGTTCTATTGTATTTACCATTTAGTTTTTAGGTTTTCAGATAATTGAGTCCATTACTAATTTGGAATCTGCTTAAGATGTAGGCATTTTGGTTGATAAAGGCATGACTCTATTTGACCCCTATGAGTAGCTCATTAGTCTCCTCTAGGTACAGTGCTCTGCTTGAGTAGACAGGAGAGCATGGCCTGAGACCTTGGGGGCACCTCAGGATCCTGTATTGGCAGCTGTTGTTCCAGGTGAGCACAGGTGACAAGCTTTTCATTATTCTAGAAGTACAGCCATCAAGTGTGTGTTAGTAAACACAGGTCAGATAACTTGCATTCTTGATGGTTGGCTTGAACATAGGAAAATGCTTATCAAAATATTTGGAGTGGGCTAGCTAGAAGGCTCAGCAGGTAAATGTGCTTGCCTCCAAGCCTGTGGGGCCAAATCAGCCAGAGTTTAATCCCCAGTACCTTCATGGTAGAAGGAAGGAATTGACTCTAGAAAAGTTGTCCTCTGACTTCCACATATGTGCCCACTAAATAAATAAATCTTATTTAACAAAACAAAACATGTTTTGCTGGGGCTGGAGATGTACCTCAGTTGGTAGAGTGCTTATCTAGTATGTATGAAGCCCTATATTTGATCAGCATACAAGAATACAAATAGTTGTAAATTTTTTTGAAAAGTTGAAGGCCTTAGGAATTGGGCTTCCAGCCTTCCAGTGTCCCTCTGATCCATTCAGAGTGACTCTGATCTCTGTGGAACACTTTCTGACAGCTGACACTCTTTGCTCTCCATTTTAGGATGGAGGATGTAGATCATTCCTTGGTCTGCTCTCTTAGCTTTTCTGTGTCTTTCTCATCTACTTCCAAATTGTCTTTTCTTTGTTTTTGTAATGGTTGGCTCAGTCAACCTATCATTGAGAAACATACATGCTTTCATATTACCAACCTTGGCAAACTAGCTCAAGATATAATTGAGAAGGCTTTGTGTCATTGGTAATGACTGATGGTTGGAAATTGATGTCCTACTTATGGATTTATCTGACCTTATATTGGCCTTTGCCTAATAACAGCAAATTAACTTCAGCATATATGACAGCTTACTCGTTAATTTCTTAATGTTTTATATTAGCTTTCCAAAGTAAACAATTAGATTTCTTGAGTTTTAGCTCCTCTCTTTCTTTGGATTACTAGTAACCAGTTTCCTTGCTACTTAAAGGCAATAAGCAAGCAATAATCAAACTTTTTTAAGGTGGAAGCATGAATTATATTTACTTAGCTCACAAAGACCAGAGTGCACAGCTCTCCAGAAGAGGGCCTCCAATCCTGGCTTCTGTTCAGCTTTTCCTATCTCAGACAGTTCAGTTATGACTATGTGTTTCATGCTCCTCAAGCTATTATTTACTTATTTAAGTAAAAGGAAAAACTTGGTGTACATAACAACATGAATGTGAAGGGTATAGGACGGCTTTGTGGAATCAGTTGTCTCCTATTTTCAAGAGTTTCAGGAATCAAAGTCAAGTCTTTAGGCTTTCATGCTTTCTCAGCACACTCTTTAGCCACTGACCCATCTCAGTGCACTCTTCTCACTGCCATGTTTGTTGAGACAGAGTCTCACTGTGTAGCCCAGGGTATCGTGGAACCCACCATGTATCTCCATGCTGGCCTCAAATTTATATCTCCCACCTCATTCTCTCAAGTATAGAATTACAGGCTTGTGCCACCATACCTGGTTTTCTTGAACTTTGTTTTTTTGTGTATGTTTGTGCAGAGGCCAGATAACAACCTTGGCTACTGTTCCTTAGCTGCTGCCCATCTTATGGGATGTTGTGTTGTTGATTTTTATTTTTATTTTTTTGCATTTATTTTGGTGTGTGTGCATGCATGTACATATACATAGACCAACTTGTGGGAGTTGGTTCTCTCCCAGTGCATTCCAGGGATCAAACCCAGGTCACCAGGCTTGGTGGCAAGTGCCTTTACTCAGTGAACCCTTTCTTGCCCCTACATTAAGGGGGTCTTTCATTGGCCTGAGACTTGCCAAAATAGATCAGGCTGGCTGACCAACCATCTCAAGAGAGCTGCCTGTTTTCTACCTCCCCAGTCCTGGGATTACAGAAGTGTACCACCATGCCCATCTTTTGCTTTTCCCCCATTTGGGTTTGGGGGGAAATCAAACTCAGGTCCTCAGTGAGCACTTTACTAACTAAGCTTATCACCCCAGCCCACTATTTTGAATTTTTTTTGGTAATGTTACATTGAAGCTCCTTTTAGAAATTTTTGAAATATATAAATCAAAGTAGAAGACTGTGCTTCTAATCATTTGATTTAACAAAACTTTTTGATTTTGGAGGGTTATAATTGTGCTAGCTATCATGCAGATCTGTAGGCAGAATGCTGAAGCTTGTGAAGTCTCACCACAGGTGCCAATAGCAGAGATAAGGATCGAATATTTAAGTTGTACTTTATTTGGAGAGCTGGTGATCTGAGAGGACAGCTGATTAATATCCTGAAAAGCCTGCTTTCTCCAGCCAATGGGCTTTAGATAAAGGGGACAGACAAAAACAGTTAGTCATTAGTTTAGTCTTAGCCTGCTGGTCAGGTGGTCAACCACATTTCTTAAACTTGTGATGTTAGTGTCTGTCCCATTATCTTCCCTTGTACCATCCACTCAATTCTTCAGGCCTAGGCATCAGTTTTGGGGTTTGTTTTAAAGATGTTAATTAACTGGTTAATAATTAATTATTGTTTTGGTCTTTTTGAGACGGCGTTTTTCTGTAGCCTCAGCTGGCCTGGAACTCACTCTGTAGACCAGGCTGTCCTCTGTCTCACAGAGATCCACCTGCCTCTACCTCCCAAGCACTGGGATTAAAGGCCTGCATCACCATGCCTGGCTTTAATTTTATTTTTTAAATTTATTTTTATTGTGTTTGTGTGAATGTTTGCCACTGGTGTGCAAGTGCCCACAGAGACCAGAAGAGGGCATCTAATTCCTTGGAGCTGGAGTTATAGTCCATTGTGAGCTACCTGCTATAGGTACCAAAAACTGAACTAGGATCCTCTACAAGAACAGTAAGCAATAACTGCTCTTTATTGCTGAGCCATCTCTCCAGCCCCTGCCCCCAAGCATTTTTTTTAAATGCTCAGTCTAGTAAGTTTGTGCCAGTACAGTCTTGTACACCTCTTGGGCTATCTGGGCTAGCCATTGTAAGTGTGTATGTGTTCCCAGCACTACAGAGACAGAGGCAGGTGGATATCTGAATTCAAGGCCAACCTGGTCTACATAGTGAGTTCTAAGTCAGCCAGGGCTACGTAGTGAGACCCTGTCTCAAAATGCCAGAATAGAAACAAAACAAACATAGGCTCATGTTCCTATTACAAATAGGTGCCAAGGCTATGTATTGTTGGCAAGGTGTGGTGGTACACGCTTGTCATCCCAGCACTCTGGAGACTTCTGGTAGGAAGATTCTGAGTTCAAGTCCAGTCTGGGCTACATAACAAATTGCAGGTCAGCCTAGTCTATGAGACTATCCAAAACAAAACAAACAAAAAATTGTCTGGAGATAGACTTCAATGGTAGAGTGCTTTTCTAAAAGCATACTTGTGTTTGGGGGCTTAATCGCCAGCCCTACCAAAAAAAAGCCGTAGCAGCAACAAAAGTGTATGCAGTGTTGATCATAGTTCTTTGCTTTTCCCGAGCTAGGCAATGGATCACTTAGAGTCCTTCATTGCAGAGTGTGATCGGAGAACTGAGCTTGCCAAGAAGCGCCTGGCAGAGACACAGGAGGAGATCAGTGCAGAAGTTTCTGCAAAGGTATGTCCAGTGACTTTGGTAGAAATAACTTTTGGTCTCATCTTTACAGTGATGGGATGATTCGTAGTGGCACACGCCTTTAATCCCAGCACTTTAATCCCAGCACTCCTAAGGCAGAGGCAGGCGGATCTCTGTGAGTTCAAGGCCAGCCTGGTCTACATAGTGAGTTCCAGGACAGCTGGGGCTACAGGGAGACCCTGTCTCAAAAAGACCAAAAAAGAAAAAGAAAGATGGTACTTTCTATGTTGGCTATCTCCAGTGAAGACAGAAAGCTGTGACCAAATATTTGTGTGTCATTGGACCTCAATCCCCAGAAGGAAACATATGAAACAGGAAACAAAATTACCAGGGAAATGATCCAGCTGTGGAATGTCTACCTAGTTGAGTGAGTCATAAACCTATAGGGAGCTTGGCTCCCTGCATTCCTGTCTCTTCATCAGTAGAACCAGGCTTCTCCTGTTTTCCTTCTTGTATTATTTCTTAGGCTATATACAATTGTTAACTGGAAAAAAAAATGTTATTTTGAGGCTGGGTGCGGTGGTGCACGCCTTTAATCCCAGCATTTGGGAGGCAGAGGCAGGCGGATCTTTGTGAGTTCAAGGCCAGCCTGGTCTACATGGCAAGTTCCAGGACAGCTGGGGCTACAGGGAGACCCTTTCTCAAAAAAAAAAAAAAAAAAAAAAAAGTTATTTTCTAAAGGTGAGTTCTAGTAATTTTAGGTTATTTTACTTACAGCCTAAATTTATGCCTTAAACCTAGACATTTTATTACCCATACCTAGAAGACTGAATAATGATAAAGAGACAGCGTAGATAATGACCAAGATATGATCATTTCTGGAATTTAGAAGTAACAGAAAAGCCACTGTTTTATTGTTACTGTCTTGCAACAACACAGTTTTTTGTTTGTCTTTTTGAGACAGAGTCTCTCTGTAGCCCCAGCTGCCTGGAATTCCCTATGTAGACCAGGCTGGCCTTGAACTCACAGAGATAATGCCTGACTCTGTCTCCCAAGTGCTGGGACTAAAGACATGCGCCACCACTCCCAGCAACAACACATAGATTTATCAGATAAAGTCTCAGTGATGATCATAAGGGTTATAGTTGTTTTGAGACAGGGTCTTACGTAGATCAGGCAGGCCTCAAGTAGACTATGTAGCCAAGAGTGACCTTGAACTCTTGATCCTTCTGCCTCTACCTCCTAAATGCTGTCATTTTAGGTCCCACCATTCTCAGCTTCAAGGTTTTTTTTTAAATTTTTTTTTTTTTTTTTTTTTTTTTTAATGTGTATGAGTGTATTGTCTGCTTGTATTCAAGTGCACCCATGTTGTGCAGTGCCCTTGGAGGTCAGAAGAGAGCATCAGATCCCCTAGAAGTGGAGTCACGGACAGTTGTTATGCAAGAGCAGCCAGTGCTCTTAAACGCTGAGACATCTCTCTAGCCCTCAACTCAAGTTTTTAGAATCTGCTTGTGATTGATTATGGATCTTAAGGTATTTCATTTATATTTGGAGGAACAGAGCAGAAATGCAGCAAGTGAAAGAGAAATATTTGTTTCCTTTACATTGAAAAAAAACAACCAAATATTGAAGTTAGGTGTCTTTATCTGATTCTTTCTGTCCTCAGGCAGAAAAAGTACATGAATTGAATGAAGAAATAGGAAAACTCCTTGCGAAAGCTGAGCAGCTAGGAGCTGAAGGAAATGTGGATGAGTCCCAGAAGATTCTTATGGAAGTGGAGAAAGTTCGTGCAAAGAAAAAAGAAGCAGAGGTTAGTATAATTTTTAAAAAAGTTGACCTTTTGTTTGTTTTGGGGTTTTGTGTATTTATTTATTTATTTATTTATTTATTTATTTATTTTTAAATTTTTTGTGTATGGGTGTATTACCTGCATGTAGGTAAGTACACCCTGTCATGCAATGCCCACGGAAGTCAGAAGAGGCTGTCAGATCCCCTGGGACTAGAGTTACAAACAGTTAGCTGCCATATGGGTGCTGGGATTCGAACCTGGGTCTTCTGCAAGAACGACCAGTGTTCTTAACCCCTGAGCCATCTCTCCAGCCCCTACTTTTTTTAATGATTTTTTTTTGAGACAGGGCTCCCTGGACTGGAACTCACAGAGTTTACCTGCCTCTGCCTCCCAAGTGCTAGGATTAAAGGCATGTGCTACCACACTTGGCCTTACTTTTTTTTTTGTCTTTTTGTCTTTTTGAGACAGGGTCTCCACACCAGGCTGGCCTTGAACTCACAGAGATCCATCTGCCTCTGCCTCCCAGGTACTGGGATTAAAGGTGTCCACTACCACACCCGGCTGATTATTTTTTTGTGTAGGGATGTTGTCCCTGCATGTATGTAGGTGCATGCATGTTATGCAGTACCCATGAAGGTGAGAACAGGAAGTTGGATCCCCTGGAACTGGAATTACTGACTGTTGTTAGCCACCATATGGGTGCTGGGAACCGAACCTGGGTCCTCTGCAAAAGCAGGCATGGCTCTTAATCTCTGAGCCATCTTTCAATCCTTGTTTCTTTGTTTTCAGGCAGGGTCTTCCTCTAGTCCCAGCTGGTGTGGAATGTGCTATGTGGACCAGGCTGGTTTTGATCTCTTAGAGATCTCTGCCCCCTGAGTGCATGTGCCACTGAGCCTGGCTCCTGTTCTTTTTTTAAAACAGACTCAATTCTGTAGCTCTGACTGACCTACAACTCACTAGGTAGCTCAAAGTGGCCTCAAATTTATGATAATCGTCCTACTTAAACCTCCTTAGTACTGAGATTACTGTTGTGAGCCACCATGCTTAGTTAAGAAATATCTTAATGGAAGTATTAGTGGTAACGAGGTGGACACACCTAAAGTCCCAGTACCTGAGAAGCTGATCTAGGATCAGGAAAGAGTTCAAGGTCAGCCTTGGCTACATTTTAAGTTTGAGGCTAATCTGGGCTACATGAGTTCCTACCTCAAAACAAGAACAAAAAGGAAAAATTAGAATGGGGGAATTAGTACAAATTTGATAGATTTGACTATTTGTACTAATGTTAAGCCATGACTGCATTGTTTTTCCAAATAATAAACTTTTTTACTTAGTGTAGTTATAAATTCACAGAAAATTTGGGAGGTAGGTACAGAAATTTCCCATATATCCCCCACAGCCCCCCCCCATTATCAGCATCCCTCACCAGAGTACTATGTTTTTATAACCATCAGTAAACCTACATTTTGACATGATTGACCTAGTTTGCTTTCTGTTGCTCTGACAAAACAACTTGAAGAGGAAAGGGTTTATTTTATGCAAGTCCCTCATCAAGGGAAGCCAGAGTAGGAACTAAAGCAAACACCATGGAGGAACGCTGCTTAGCTTGCTCCCTCTTGTTGCTAAACTCGCTCGCTCCTTCCTCCCTTTCCTCCTTCCCTCCTTCCTTCTTTCCTTCTTTCCTCATTCCTTCCCTTTCTCACTTTTATTTGGTGTATATGAGTCTTTTACCTTCATGCATGTATGTAAGTGTACCACACAAGGATATTGGATCTCCTGCAGCTGGATTTAGCTACCATATGGATGCTGGGAACCAAACCTGGGTTCTCTGACCTGTCTCCAGCCCCCCTAGGCTACCATTTCTTTTTAAAATTTTTTCAAAGTTTATTTTATGTGTATAAATGTTATGCCTTCATGCATGTACCCATATAGTACGGTGCCCGTGGATGACACAAAAGGGCGTTGGATCCTTTGGAGTGGGCGGTATGGACAGTTGTTAGCTCTCATGTGGGTTCTGGGTTCAAACCCAGGTCTTCTGCAAGAACAGCCAGTGCTCTTAACTACTGAGGCATCTCTCCAGCCCACTAAGTATATAGCTTGAGCTTACCTGCTGAGGGATACCATAGCCCATGATAGCCTGGGCCCTTCTCAGTCAATTAGCAATTGAGAAAATGCTCCATAGATGTGCACACAGGCCTGAACTGAGGTTTCTTTTTTCCCAGATTTGTCAAGTTGACAGCAACACTGATAATTGTCATCCCAGAGCCCAGTTGGGTTTCCCTTAGTATGGTATATTTTATAGGCTTGAGAAAGTGTATGATGACCTGTGTCCATCATTGCAATAGCTTAAATATCAGTTTCACTGCTATTTAAAACTACTAAACTAAAACTACTTGTGGCCCACCTGCTGAAAATATGAACATAAAATAGATAAGATGTGAGAATGATGTTGGGGTGGTGTGTAGGCAGGATGGGGGACATCCTGGAAAGACATAGAGCTGCAACTGCCACAAACTGAGGTGGTTATCAGAAGGTAGGAGGGCCAGGCATGGCAAAGAGATGAGGAAATGGTGTGTATGTGTTTGACTAGTGTTGCTTTTGAGATACTGTGCCTCTGGCTCCACATGCCTGGCACGTGGTTAGTGTGAGAACAGCTAATTGCGTGGTGCCAGGGGTTTGTGGGTATTAGAGCCGTGTCCATTGATCTCAGCAATAGGAAAAGGCTGAGATTGTGCTTTCCACAGTTTCCCAGAAGTGACAGGAATGTAGGTTGGCAGAAAAGGTTGGACAGGCAGTCTAGAGCAGTTCTGAGATAATGCCTTCCAACCCCTCTTTGGTGACATCACCACATCTTTTTTTTTTTTTTTTTTTTTAATTATATTTTTTTATGTATGTGAGTGCACCCATGTCATGCAGTGCCGCAGAGGTCTGAAGAGGGTTTTGGATTCCCCTGGAACTGGGGCTAAGGACGTTTCGTGGCCACCATGTGGGTGCTGGGAATCGAACCTGGGTCCTCTGCAAGAGCAGTCAGTGCTTTTAACCACTGAGCCATTTCTCTAGCCCCCATCCCTATATCTTCATTTCCTTAACATGAAGGACAAAAGAGATTCACAGTATAAATATGCTTAGATAGAACCACTCTAAAAAGACACCTGTTCTTGAACTTCACCTTGCACAGTGCACTGCAAACCCTGGTAATGGAGCAGGGGCAGCAACTCCTTAATGGTTCAGAGATGTAGTATTGGCTGAAGTAACTGTAGGTTGGTACTTTAAAATTTTATTTTATGTGTATGAGTGTTTTGCCTGCATGTATTTGTGTCCCTGTGTTGTGCATTCCTTGTGGAGGCCAGAAGAGGGCTTTGGGTCTCCTGGAACTGGAGTTAAGGATGGTTGTTATCTACCATCAGATTCTAGGGACCAAGCCTGGTCCTCTGCAAGAGCAGCCAGTGCTTTTAACCATTGAGTCATCTCTCCACCCTCTTGGTTAAAGTTTTTACCCTCATAGATGTCTGTTGTAGAGAGAGGAACAGGGTACAGAGTGTATGTATGGCTGCCCATGCCCAGGGCTCCTGAAGGACTGCTCCCTCCCCCATGCTGTTCCTCCTCACCCTGCACTAAGTACTGACCTTGGTAGATCTAACAAAATATTCTGTGGTGTTCAGGTCTGCCATGCTTTTTGTTTTTAAACACTTCCTTTGTATATGCACACGTGTCTGTGTGTGCATGCATGTGCCTGCTAGGGCACACATTGGAGATCAAAGGCCAACCTGTGGAAGTCATTTCTCACTTTCCACCATGTAGGTTCTAGAGATTGAATTTAGGACATCAGATTTGGTGGCCTTGTCCTACCGTTATTCCTAGTATAATAATAGAGAGATTTATGATGGGTTGTTGAAAGAACTGGGCTTTTTGTTGGTGTTGTTTGTTGTGGGTTCCCCCCCCCCCCCAGTATTTTTAAACCAGTGTCTTCCTTTACCCCCAACTGGCCTAGAACTCAAAAAAATCCCTCCCTCCTGGGGCCGGGG